CACTATGTAGCCCAGGCTGGTCTCAAACTCACAGCAATCCTCTTGCCTCAGCCTCCTGAGTGCTGGGATGACAGGCGTGCGCCACCACGCCCGGCTCTCCTTTCTTTTTTAAACTCAATTTTGTTTATTTAAAAAAAAAATTTTTTTTTTTTGGCTGTACTGGGAATTTTTTTTTTTTTTTTGGTACCAGGGATTGAAGCTGGGACCTTGCGCTTTCGAGGCAGGCGGCGGCACCACTGAGCTAAATCCCTGGCAACAGTACTGGGGATTAAACCCAGGACTTTTGCACTGAGATACACCCTCAGCCTTTTTATTTATCTTAATTTTAAGACAGAGTTTCACTGAGTCACTAAGGTGCCCAGACTGGGCTCGAACTTATGATCCTTCTGCCTCAGCCTGCCAAGTGCTGGGGTTGTGTGTGTGTGTGCCCACCACGCCCATCTTACACGAGGGAACATTTTGCTGGGGATTAATGGCCGTGTGTCTTTTACTATAATATTTAAAAATCTAAAGCAGCCGGGCTCACACCTGTAATCCCAGCACTCGGGAGGCTGAGGCAGGAGGATCACTGTGAGTTCGAGTCCAGGCCTGGGCTATATAGTGAGTTCCAGGTTGTGTGTGTGTGTGCCCACCACGCCCATCTTACACGAGGGAACATTTTGCTGGGGATTAATGGCCGTGTGTCTTTTACTATAATATTTAAAAATCTAAAGCAGCCGGGCTCACACCTGTAATCCCAGCACTCGGGAGGCTGAGGCAGGAGGATCACTGTGAGTTCGAGTCCAGGCCTGGGCTATATAGTGAGTTCCAGGTGAGTCTCATAGAGACCCTGTCTCAAAAAACCAAAAAAAAAAAAAAAAAAAAAAAAAAATAAAAAAAAAAAAAAAAAAAAAAAAAAAAAAAAAAAAATCTAACGCCACCATTTCTCAATTATACACCAGTGAGTCCATCCACTTATCTACACACGCTTTTCTGTGGCTCCGTTTATGGAGCACCCATCGGGTGGCAGGCCTTGAACTGGATGAGGCACCCTATGGGCGAGGTGTCTGACCCCGTGCTTAGTGGGAGACAGTGCTGATTCAAGGACATCACAGAGTCTGTCCAGGATCGGATCCTGGTGAGGGTTCTCTAAGGCGCCCCTACTGTCCCGCAGCCTGCGTCCCTCCTGCATCTGCAGCCACACTGAATCCCTGCCTTCCTGCTACCCCTTGCCCACACCTACCCACCCAGCGCTAACTTCCAGACCACCCAGCAAGCACCCAACCCAAAACCCGGGGGAGGTTTCAACAGGCTGAGTCCCTCCTGGGCTCCGCGGCTTCTACCCGTGACTGTGAGTAACTAGTTACTCCTCAGCCAGCGCCTTCTGCGGAATGAGTCCCTCTTCCCTTCACATCGCTCAGTCTCTGCTGTAGTCTGAGCCACGCTGGCCCCTCAGCATTGGCTGAGGTGGCCTCCTCACCTGACTGTCAGCTTCTCTTCTTGCCCCCTGGCAATGAATCCACGTTCCACACAGCAGCCAGAGCATAGATTGATTTTTTGTTTGTTTTGTTTTTGTTACTGTAGACAGAACTGGGCCCCAGTCCCCGATCCCCCCTGCGTTTTTATTTTTTTGAGACAAGGTCTGGCTAAGTCACTAAATTGCTCAGGCTGGGCTCTAATTTACAATCCTCTTGCCTCAGCCTCCCAGAGTGCTGAGACTACAGGCATGTGCTACCATGCCCAGCTCAGAGGGTGCTGGATTTTTCAAAAAAAATTTTTTTTTGGAGACAAGATCCCACTATGTAGTTCAGGCTGGCCTTGGACTCACAGCCTGGCCTCAAACTCAAGGCAATCCTCCCACCTCAGCTTCCAGGGTGCTGGATTATAGGTGTGTACCACCATTCTTGGCTCAGAGAATAGTTTTAATTAATTAATAATTTAAGTGCTTTGAGACAAAAGTGAATGTAATCATTATGTACTTCAAACATGTATTAATAAAAAATAAATACATTTTTAAAGGAAAAGAAATAGGGTCTCAATATGCAGTTCAAGTAATCTTGAACTATGTAGCCCAGGCTGCCCTCAAACTCTGAGTGATCCTCCTGCCTCAGCCTCCCTAGTGCTGGGATGACAGGGGTGCGCCACCACACCCTGCCTCAGAGATTTTTTTTTTTTTTGTACCGGGGATTGAACTCGGGTCCTTGTGCTTACAAGGCAGGCCACTGAACCACTGAGCTAAATCCCCAGCCCCCAGAGATTGTTTTTAACATCATATTTTGAATCTTTTCTCTCCCCTACCCATATCCTCCAAAAATGTTCCTTTAGCGCTGTGAATAAAATCCAAACTCCTCCTAAACTCACAAGGGCCCATGTGAGCGGCCAGCTCTGCCCGTCCCACTCCTGTCACAAGGAGTCCCTCAAGTACACCAACTCATACCTCTGCTCACAGAGCTTCCTGCACTGGGTTCCCTGTTTACTGAGGCCTCGGCTGAGAGAACACCTCCAAGAGGCCTTCCCTGTCCACCACATCTGGATCAGGACCTGTGCTCCAGTCCACTTTCCTGGGCTCTCCTCTCCATACCTGTCTGCAGCGGACTTGTTTGGTGCTGGGATCGCTACGCGCTCACAGGGGCCTCTGGGAGACAGGACAAACCACATTTGGAAACTGGGGGGCTGGAGCTGCCCCCTGACCACTTACTCAGATCCTCTTGTCCTTCCGGGTCCAGATGTTGGCAGGCACAGTCTCAGGTAGTCCTCACAACATTCTAGAAAGACAGATTCTTTGCTTTTCTTTTTTTAAGACAGAGTCTCACTAGATATTTCAGGCTGGCCTGGAACTCACTATGTAGCCCAGGCTGGCTTCAAACTGGAGGCAAAATCCTGCCTGTCTCAGGAGTGCTAGGATTACAGGCATGCAAGATTCCTAGCAAGATTCCTTTACATGCATGAAACACTATACCCAAAGTTTGTGCGACCCAGCACACCATCAGATGTCAGCCAGGCCTTAGCCAGTCATACTGCACCACCTCCCCATCTGTGAACACAGCCAACCCCACACTGCCAATGCACAGCAGAGCCAGGATTCTAACTAGGGCACCTTGCACCCCAAATCTAGCATCTTGCCCTCTTAAGATCTCTCTCCTTCCCCAGGTACCGTGTGGGAAACAAGGGAAGGGAAATTTCCTAGGTTCCCAGGCTTGAGGCTGCAGAGATAAACAGAACCAAGCTTCGGCAGCTAGGCCCACCCTACTTCCTGTTGGAGTGGCCAGAGGTTATTCACGGTCACAGCTGAGGGATCGCCCCCTCGGGCTAGTTCCTCTAAAATCTCCTCCTGGCCTCAGGTAGCCACAGGCTCTCCTCCCATCTGAGAGCAGACACTGCTGGGAGGAGAGACAAGAACACTCGCCCGGAGTTGCAGCAGGGTTAAAACCTGCCTGGAGGGATTTAATTTGTTCACCCTGGAGCCATAATTCACGTAAGCACCTGTGGTACAAGCAAGGCTTGTCCCATCAGGACTGTTTAGGGACATGCATGTACCACGGGTGGTTCAAGGCGGAAGCTATCCGAAATGGGGGTCCTTGCTTACAGGTGCAGACACGAGTCAAGCCCGCCACCAGGGCAGTCTGGGTCCCCAGTGCCTCTTTAGAGCCTCCCTCTCGTCTTCCTCCCCCCACGGGTTCCTGTCTGCTTCTCCACCTTGCCTTACGCCTGGAGGGGCCAGAGACAGCCTGGCTCAGAACAGTGTCCCCAAGGACTGGGCACTGATGAATGAAATGCTGCGGGTCCGGGGACAGGTACGGGGCTCCGAAGTGGTCTTTGTCTCCTGAGCAGTTAATCTAGCGAAGGACACCAGCCGTGTAACTACCCAAAACAAAAACAACAAAAAACCCCCGAAAGGACAGCAAGAGGCTTAGACAACATACTGGAACAAGACAAGCTGGGTCACAAGGCTACGAGACAAACTGCTCCCAATGACACCTCGCCGCGGCGGAGCTTTCCCACATTTCTGCCCTGACTCAGAGCTGCGTGGGTCCGGGCCATCTAGCTCTCTGAGCGGCAGTCTTCCCAGAAACGGGACTCACTACCTTCCAAGCTCAACGCTCAAGGCTGGAGGGACCCTGGAAAGCCATTCCACCCATAGTTTTCAGTTTTCCCCCGCGTCATGGTTTCTTCCTTTCTAGGCTTGCGCTCTCCCAGCCGGACTAGCCTGGGGTCCCGCCCCGCAACCTCCCACCGCCTTGCCTCGCCTCGCTTTGCCCAGGCCCCTCTCCTAGCCCCTCGGCTCCC